CTACCGTTTCGTCGATTTATGTCTTTCACAGATAATCGAGCTTCCTCTCTTGAATCCAGAGCTATTTTTACGTGTTGGCATAAAGCCTCCGAAAGGCGTCCTACTATATGGACCTCCGGGGACGGGCAAGACGTTGCTGGCCCGGGCAGTCGCCGCAACGCTTCAAACCAACTTCCTCAAAGTTGTTTCGTCGGCGATTGTTGACAAGTACATCGGAGAAAGCGCCCGCGTGGTCCGAGAGATGTTCGGTTATGCTAGAGACCACGAACCGTGCGTCATCTTCATGGACGAAATTGACGCTATCGGTGGCCGTCGATTTTCGGAGGGTTCCAGTGCGGACCGGGAGATTCAACGAACACTGATGGAGGTTAGTTTGAAGACGCGGGATGCGTTACCGACTCAATTTTCTGTCGCAGCTGCTAAATCAAATGGACGGATTCGACTCCCTCGGAAAGACAAAGCTTATCATGGCTACCAATCGACCTGATACGCTTGACCCAGCCCTGTTGCGACCCGGGCGTCTCGATCGAAAGATTGAGGTCCCTCTGCCAAACGAACAGGCTCGTCTTGAAATCCTCAAAATCCATGCTGCGCCGGTCAACAAGAACGGTGAAATCGACTACGAGGCAATTGTCAAGGTAAGCCTTACTAACTAAAGTATTCATTCACTGCAACACGAACCTTTGTAGCTGTCGGATACGTTCAACGGCGCAGACTTGCGGAATGTGGTGACGGAGGCAGGCATGTTCGCAATCAGAGATGATCGGTGGGTGCCTGCCCCTCATCAGTCTGTAACCGTGCCTGACATTCCGTCAGCGAGTATATCATACAGGAGGATCTATCGAAAGCAGCACGGAAGGTTGGGGAGGCCAAGAAGCACGAGAGTAAGCACAACTTTCCGTGTTATCATATTTGTTTTGACTCGCGCGACAGCCAAAATTGAGTATTCGTAGATGTTTTTTACCGTCCCGTTCAAGTCCCGTTTCCTGTATTCTCGTCTACTATAATTGTGATCGCGCGCAAACCCAATGTGACCTAAGGCCTAATCAGGAGCCCAAACCTCCTGTCAGCTGACCGGCAGGGTTGCGTCGCAGTCACACTCCTTCCTTCCGTCCATGAGTTCCTCCACTACTAGTTCCCCGCTCCTCGAGTCACAGACGCCTCAGCCCCTCGCCGTGAGCCAGATTGAACGCGTCGTCAGTCCTACCCCGTCCGCTAAGAAGCGGTTTTCTGCTCTTCAACGCATAAAGAAGCTGGGCGGGAAGCTCAAGAAGTCCAAGGCGGAACCCATCCCCGAGCACCCAGCCGAGCAGAATTTGCCTCCTGTGGGCGAGGTTGTAGAACAGGAATCTGCGGAGGAGAAACAGGATACTGTCGTCGAGGAGCTTGACATCTCAGACCCTCCCGAGCCCGCCACTTTGGCGCAACGACTTCGTGCCCTCATCACATCTTTGCCTAAAAGTGGTTCGGAGCCCCCACCCATCAAATCAGATCCTCCGCCCTTGGATGCTGATGGCCGCCCCATCCCTCCTCCTGGCGCCGTGCGCATCAAAGACCCCAAACTCATCGAACTTTTGTCTGATCCTGAATTCATGAACGGCCCTGACGGGCGTGTCACTGTTTTTGAGGCTCTGGATGCCCTCGACGCGCCAAAGTATCACAAACCCACCAGCAGCGACGATAGTCCCGGAGAACCCGACGGCCAACCCGGTGACGATGACGTACAGAGCCAGGGTGATGTGATGATGTATGCCCCTCTGCACCCAACCGATGAGTCGGAGGTTCAGCTTGCGAAATCGAAGATCATCGAGGTCCCTCTTACGAGGTTGGACACATTTCGGCAGTCACGTTGGAATTTCCTGTGGTCTGTCACTGTTGGGTTGGTCAAATCACAACCTCCGCAGACGAAGTTGGTCCAAAAATGGGTGCCATCCACAACCAAGATCTCGTTCCAAGCCATGTGGTGGGGTTACCGGATGTTTGTCGTTCATGGCTCACACCCTGCTTCGCTGATAAATCTTAGGTATCTGCCTCCACCCGTCTTGGCTGCTCTCTCCGAGGACGAAGCTGAAGTAGTGAAGATTGCAAACACCATCACGGCCGCCTTGACATGGTTTCTCTCCCATGTTTCCGCCGCATCAGTTCCGCCACCTCTCCTCCCTGCGTTCCTATTGCTCCAAAAGCTGGGGCCATATGCCGGCTACATCGGGACTTTCATCGCGTGGATATGGGGTACCGTGAAGAACGCTGATCAGGGTATTATACGTGCCCATTTGGTTATTGCCGATACTCATCATCCTCCACCCCCAGGTCTCGGTGTGGTTCTGACAGCCACCTGGGTTCTGCCCGTTGCCCTCATCCCTAGTGCGATCAAGCCCGCGACCCCTCCCGATACCCCCGCGACCACCCCTGATACTCCCCCGATTCAACCGCCCGCCACCGAACCCCCGACCACCACGCCATCTGGGGATCCTGGCCCCCCTGTTGCAACACCGACATCTCCAGATGCGGAGCCCATTCCAGCCATCCCACCGCCATCGTTATGATTCCGGGGGGCCCGCACCTAATTCTCATCAATTAGTCTATACCATAACTTCCGCCTTGCGATGCTACGGCTTTGCACCAAGAATACCTCTATAGTGTCTGGGATTTTATCTGCCCATTTTTTGTCCCCGATTAGGAAAGAGCATCTTTACCGTATCTTGATATTGGAATCTCTCGGTATACCATCCTCCACTATAAACCTCTTGCCTTGGACCGTCCGTATTTTCATGGAAAGGGAAGGACACAGGAAAAACCCCTTTTGAGCGCTCTAGCCTCTCCAAACTCACGATATAGAACTAGCAGCGCCGCCATAAATAATATTGCAATACGAATCTGCGACAGGTAGTACAAGGTAGGGGCCTGTATCGGGTCGGCCACCAGGTGTCGTTCCCATCCGAAATCTCCATGAGGCAAAGAAGAGGCATATCATGATACTCTTAGTAGAATAAATAAATAGAGCGAACGGCTAGGATCATTGTCTTCAGCCCGAATTGGATACTACATGCATGATTCTCCCTGTTTGAGTGCGTTGCTCATGGCTTTGCCCGTCCGCCTCTCAGAGTTGCCTTTTTTAGGTAGAGATGGGAGTTGTGGGATGCTTGGTCATGTCGTGGTATGACGCTGAATCGCAAACAGGACGCGTCGCCTGCTGTTACTTATGTCGGACCCCACGGACGTCGTCCTCCCAATTCCAAATCTCTCCCTCGCCCAGAACCTTTTCACCCTTTCTAGTCCTTCCCTTGCCCGCCTCCATAATGCTGCGCGCACCGCCCTCCTGGAAGGAATCAAAGCAGACGAAATGGGTCCTTGGTATCGTTCCTTGACCCAGGCGCCTTCGAGCTCTACCCCCGATCTCCAAGCACCGCAAACGTCGTCGCATCTGTCTACCTCAACTACTGCTGCTCCCACCGTCGTTCCTTTCGACGCGACCATACTTGAGGAGCTGGAAACGAAAAATGCAGCCGCTCTGGAGAAGCTCGACGAACGGTTGAAGCACGCCCAAGAGACAGAGGGAGAGTCCGAGATTAGCGACGCCCTCAGAGGTCGCGCCAACTATCTTACAAAGATCGGCGACAAGGTAGAGCCCTTTACCGCATCATTGTTCGTTCGACAACTTTCGTTAGGACGCGTCTGCTGCCCAGCTTCTTGCATTCGAGAAAACCCCAGGTCTCGGCTCACGCATAGACATCGCCTTGACTCTAGTACGCATCGCATTTTTCTGGGGAGATCGACAAGATATTACGAAATACCTGAGCAAAGCAGAAGTGTGCGTCACATCTCTCTTCCTGCCAACCCATTAACCCGATCTCATAGGCTTATTGAAGAGGGTGGCGACTGGGACCGCAGGAATAGGCTGAAAGTATATCGCGGCCTCTACATGCTTTCCATTCGACAGTTTGTGCGCCCTCTGTTGTCGCGTGTCTCTAGAGAATGGGATCTCACCTTACTACAGAAGAACGGTGGGGACTTGTTCATAGATGCCCTTTCCACGTTCACCGCGACCGAACTAATCAGTTACAACGATTTCGTTGGTATGACTGTGATCGCGGGTGTACTCGGCCTGACCCGTGTTGAGCTGAAGAAGAAAGTACATACAATCCGTCGTTCTCCGTCAGAGTCTTACAGCTCCCAGATCATCAGCTCCCCCGAAGTCGCCCAAGTGCTGCCCGAGATTCCTTTACTTGGAGAGCTCGTGAACAATCTTTACGCATGCCATTACGACAAGTTCTTTGTGGCCCTAGGTGCCTTTGACATCTCTTGGATCGGACATTTCATTGAACCCTTTTGTCCTAGCTGAACTCGAGCAAACCCACCTTCTGCCGTCCCGCATCCTTGCGCCTCACGCACGGTACTATGTGCGCGAGATGCGGATACTAGCCTATAGCCAGCTGCTCGAGAGCTACCGAAGCTTAACGCTCGAAAGCCTCGGCGGCGCGTTTGGTGTCAGCGTAGAGTTCATTGACAAGTCCGTATCATTGCGCATTCCCTTCTCCGGCATACTTAGCTTCGCACAGTGAGATATCGCGGTTCATTGCCGCGGGCCGCCTGCACTGCACTATTGACAAAGTCCACGGCACCGTAGAAACGACAAGACCGCTGAAAAAGAACGCGCAATATGAGACAGTCGTTAAGCAAGGGGACGTGCTGCTGAATGAGGTTCAGAGGTTGTGCAAAGTTCTGTACTAGTCATGAGTAGGTCAGCGCTGCAATCTATCGGATCACTTCGAATTCGGCCTTTCCCGGCTGTTGTTCAGCGTTCGACTTCCGAGGTAAATATTAGAGTATGGCTCTTAATTCTGAACATGTCATTACAGTCACCCATGGTCATGTAATGTAATATGGTATTCATAGGGATTTTTTGTCAAAACCTGGGCATCAGCCATTGTGATTCACAAATACATAGTACTAGTAATAGGGGGTGGACATCGGAGATTCGAAAGTAAACGCACACAAAAAGACACTGCCGTGGTTCGAACACGGGACTTCAAGATACTGGCAATGCAATCAAATTTTGCAATCTTACACTCTACCACTGAGTTACAGTGTCGATACTGACAGGCGCTCCATCACGTAGTATAGTATTTCCCGCCAGCCTTCACGGTCACGATTTTCGGCCGCAAAGCTCCGCCGTAATTCTTAAGCTTTCCTAGTTCGAGTCTTCAAGGAGTCTTCCAACATTTCTGGCGCCATAATGGCAACGCCCAATCGAGCGGACACTGTTGCGGTACAAAATCAAAAGTGAGCTCTGCTCATCCCGCACTTCCATATTAAATAATCAATGGGATGTTAGATTGTTCGATGTCTTCAAGAAAAAGTTCGCTTTTCCAAAGCACTTTATAACAATGGCCAAGAAGCTCGGAGAATGGCTCAAAAGCGATAAGGCGTACTATACCGAGGCTCGGAAAGACGTAGGACTATTCAATCAACGCCAAGTGTGTCTATCCCTGCCCTAACTCCGCTTCAGATTGTAGCAATCCTCTTGGTACTTTCTTCGCTATGAACTGGCCTCAAGGAACTGACTCTAACAGATTGCGCAGCAGACGCTGGAATCGTCGGCTGGACTAGACGAGTATCAGTCACTGGTCGAGGCTTTTGTCCAACTCTTGTATTGCGTTGCGCCTTTCCAAAGTCGGTTCATTGAGCCAGAACTCCAAGGTTTGAGAAGAAATTGTCTCCGACACTGCCTAAATTCAATCCTCGGATTAGATTCTATCCAGCAGCTACTTCGGGGCCTTACGCGTGCCCAGCCATCTGCTCAGACCCCCCCGTAAAGGGACTCCCTATCCCTCGCTTATACCAACTGATAACCGGCTGTAGGGAGACATCGTTGGTGTCAACTGTCATAGGCCGAAACCAGCAAATGCGCCCTAGTTCTTCCTCTTTGGCTTCAGCATTAACACCGACGGCTTCCAGTGTTGTCCGACCAAATGTTGCTCCGGAAACCGCTCTGGCAGTGAAGGGGCCTTCTCGTCATCCTTCGGTAATAAGAATAACGGCTCCTCCCTAATACGTCTGACAAATAGATATTAAGGTCCCCGGCTCTCAACCGGTACCGATGGCTCTAGAGTCTACGATCGTAGTGGCCTCGGAATCTCTGCCGGTGGCGTCTTCATCCAAACTTAAACGTAAGAAGAAGAAAAAAGAAGACATCTCCAAGTTCATCCAGGCCGATTTGATGAACTTGGAGCATCGTGAACAAAAGACGAGGACTGCGCCCAAACTCGTCGAGGCCGCCCCAGCTAACAAACAAACGACCCAATCGGCTGGTCCTTCCTCCGTGCCTCCTGCATCTTCAGAGAGTGCACCAGCCAACACTCGACAGCCATCCGCTCATGAAGTTATCTGCGTCTCGGCTGTCACACCCTCGAAAAGCATGGCTATCGAGGAGAGATCACTCGAGCTCGATTCTAGCTCGATAACGATCGAATATGTTCCCCATACATCCTGCCCGGATATAGTGATGGAACAATCTGACGACAATGCAATCCCTGAACCACATCCTCCAGATCATTCCGCTGGTTCTGTTGGTGTTCGCTCGTTGACCTTGACCATTATCTTATCTTCCTCAGCTAATAAATACATCCGCTCCGACTGCCGCGGGTCCCTCACAAATCGACGCCGAGATTGCTCAAAGTGTTTCACAGAACGCTGCTTCTGCAGAGGCTTCAGTTTCAGTCGCTGCTCCGGAAACGCTGTCTCCCTCAATGGATGACGAGGTCAATCGAGTGTTGCGTGTACTGTCAGGCCCCCTGCCCTCGGCCATATCTATTCCAGATAACATCGCGGATTCCGCAATGACAGACGTTACGATTGCGACTCCCATCATGAACGTTGACGAGGCAATGCCCCCGATTTTCCACCAGGACACAACCACTTCCGTTCCTGCCAGCAATCAAGGCGATCCCGCGCGACCCATGGAAGAAGCGACAAGTCCTATCGCGATCGAGGAAATCGTGAATACGTCCGAAACACTGCAGAGTGGCCCACAGGACGAAACTGAAGGTTCATCGGAACAAGTGACACTCGATAGTCCGGCTGCTTTCCAGGCAATTATCCAGACCATGTTGAACAATGTCAATAAACTCATCACCTCCTCCGCTGTGATTCCGCTATTTTGAGGCCTGGTCGTCAGTGCTGACAGCGATTCACAGAACACACCCATGCCTCTTACGGACGAAACTGTCACTCCCACACTCGATGGTGCCAGATCACCCCGTCTCGAAACCCAAGGATCTTTGGCAGTACATCAGAACCCGGAACTTCATCCGAAAAACGGGCTTGATATTCTCGAAGGCGAGCATGATCTTGTCGGCATTGTCGGCACTGGGAGTACGTCGTCTATCTCGCCCATCTACTGCATTTATGTGATACATACCAGAAACTGGTATCGGAGCGGCAACTGTTATAGCTCGCCAACTTGGACTCAAGAGCGGCACGATAAGCATTGAATTTGCTCTCAACCAAAAACAAGCTGACTCCATCACCGCGTGGAACAATCGCGCAAAGCACTCCGGGTGAGTCCCCTTCCATCTAATCCTACTATCTGATAAACTGTTTGCCTGCATAAAGTGACATCGACAAGAGTTTATGCATAACCCTGCTTTGTTTCTCGGCGGCTGATATCAGAGGTCGGCTGGAGTCATCGACAAGCAAAGATCTGGCAGTCATCCTTCCCGAGTTGAAGTGCTCATGGCCGACCACTGGTAAGTTCACGTCCCCATGAAGTAGCCGATTTATGCTTTCCCAAGGTGGCTTGAGTATGAACGCTCTGTGGAATAATACGCGCATAGACTTGCCCATGGCCCCGCCGTTCAGTGTGCGTATGGCCAGGGGTCTTTTTTTTTTCTCGTCTTACAACTCAACAGCTACCACTGAATGGAATGGTCGACGTCTCTCCATTCTTGGTATTGGGCAAAAATTATCTTCGCATTGCGCAGACACGCGACATGTCCAAGCACTGGTTCATCCTCTGTGCCCACCACCCTACCCACTCACAGCTTAACACTGTTGCGCGGCGCCGCCACAAGGAACGAGAATGGACTGGGTGGCTTGAAGAAATCTCCCGGCCGTTGCAATTACCTTTCAAGATACCCATCGAGGTTTAATCACTGCCGCCATATTTGTACAACCTGCGCTAATCTTGTCTGACCAATGCACTCACTCAATTATGATCCCGCAAAGAGACACAGAGAATTCTTGACGTTCGCTCACTAAGAACCTGAACGCTGCCACACGGAAAGCAACACCATACAGGTCGGATCTCTTTGTGCAAGGATGTCAATATATGATTCAACGTACCTCAAAAATCCGTACCAAAGTCCCTAATATTAGTTTGCTACCGAAAGTATACGCAGTATTGAGATATTATCTTGAGTATTGTCAACTGTAACAAGCCATCATTGTGCCCCGAGCAGGCTGTTTAATGCCTTTTGGACATCATAACCATGGATCTCCAATGCGTCCACAGCCTGGGTGCGACTGAACCCCATGGCTGCCAGCTGTTTGACTGCCTCGACATCATCATCGACGGCAGGTGTAGTGTTTCTTTCAGATTCCTCCCGAGGAGGCGTAAGGAGTTGTGAAGGAGCGGAAGGCAGCGGTTCTGCTTGTTTATTCTTTTTCTTGCCGAACGGCAATCGGATCTGAAAGGATGTCTTCAGCATGATCGACGAGAGAGATGCTGCACGGTCAGCTTACGCTTAATTTTGAATGACGCGGAGGAGTGTCTTTCGCTTTCTCTTCTTTCGACGACGTAGAACCTGTTGAAGGACGTGGCTTGGATGCCGGGGCGCTGCGAGGAGGAGGCGATCTGTGACGCGGAGGTGGAGAAACGGACCGGGGCCCCGCCTTTTGCGATGGTGGACTTGTCGTGCTTGGCGAAGGCACGGACGGGAATGTCTGAGGCACGACCGACGGCCCGCTTGGAAAGGTTGCCGTTGTGGGTGAGTGGAGGGATTCCCCAAGGTTTTTCAAGTCTGGCCCGGACTCAAATCCTGCAAATGCCTGGTCGAACGATGGGCCTCCTGCAGGGCTGGCCACCGCACTCCCGTTCTGTGATGCATGCCCTACGATCGTGGGCCCCAAGGCCGGCACAGCAGAGCCGTTATTCGACACCGGCTTCGGAGGCTCGTCTGCGGCACCGAGCGTCTTGTCACTCGTTACATTCGCGAAGATAGTGTCAAATTCATTCTTGCTCGCACTCGGAGGGAGCGGCGAAACGGTGTTCCCATTGACGGCAGTGGGAGCAGGAGGGAACGGGGCCTCGTTGACTACAGAGGCAGAGGAGAAATCAAAGTCGTCGTCAAACGCCGAGTCGAATGCAGAGAATTGCGGCGCAGCGGAGGTGGTGGCAGGGATTTTACCGAGAGCTTCATCGAAAGCATTGACACCAGCCACCACTGGCTCCGCCGGAGGAGGGGAGAAACTGTTACCCGCAGCACCGAAGGGGCCGTCAGATACAGGCATGCCAAAAGCGTCGGTGGTGGCCTCCGATGTTTGCGTAGCTAGCGTCGAGACACCAAAAACATCATCAAACGACGTCTCAGCCGGCTGGGTATCACCATTGGTCTTCGGCGCGGGTGCCTCAGCGTCAGGAGCGACATGCTTTCCTTTCGCGAGCGTAGCGAGAGGGACGTGGTCCTCGCTGTCGCTGTCGCTACTGTCCGATTCTTGCACATCGAGCTCCCTAAGCTGGGCACCGAGGTCTGTCTCCGCAACATCCGGCGCAGAGTGGGGTTCGACATGGCCACTGTCAGCACCGCCCAATGGCAGATTCGTGCTCGCCACGATATCGTCAATGGCAGGGAATGTAGGCGCATTCGCTGTAATCGGTGTCGAAAAGACATCATGCTCACTAGTTGTACCATCATCTTCCAAGGAAGAAGACAGCATCCCAACCTCTGAATCTGGCTTGAGTCCGGGGCTCTTGCTTTCCGGCTCTGGGGTTTCGGGAACAGCCGCAGGGACTTCCGCCCCGAATGCACGCGCGAAGCCAAAGGGGTCTGGCGCGGAGCCCTCGGTTCCAGACTCGGTTGAGAGCCCATTCAT